TTGTTTGCTAAGGTTGCCAAAACCTTTCAGTTAGTAACAAGGTGGTCTTTAATTGCCAACACAGCTGGATCAGCAATCAGTATCATCAGTTTTCCCTAATGACCTACAATGCTTTCTAATCATAATCAGGATTATCTAAGTTGTCCTTTACCAAGAGCGCCTTACAATATCTATTTCTGACAAGGTGGTTTATGTTCTTTGTTTTACAAAAGCAATATGATTCCTATTTGAAATTAATCCACTTTTGCACAAGTGACCCACAGGCCAATTCCAGCTTCACAAGAAAACAAAGAGAGCTGCAACAACTTCATTAGGACAATGTGGTTTGCTCTGGAATATTTAATTATCAATATAAATTCACCCAGTCCCAGTCCCACCCACATACATCCCCTTTGAATATTATTTTGTTACATACTTAAACTAAAGAACAACATCTCAATACACTTCAGTGTCAGCAGATACAATTTGACTCATGAAATGATATCCTTAAATATAATTTTACCAAGAAGGCAAACACTAGGACTGTATACAATAGATTTCTTAAGTTCATTTATGCCAGTGTTCAAAGTCAGTAAGGGTTTTTTTTACTCTAAGAGCCAAGTGCACCAGAATTGTCAGAATGCTTTGGGGAATACACAACATCAAAATGATCCCCATAAAGTGAATTGTAATTCCAGAAAGAACTGATATTATATACAATAATAATATTTTTCCAACCTTGAATTACCACTGGAGCATTCTATATCCTTACCTTTCCCCAAACTGCTTTTTTCTTTGCTACATTAAGTAGACCACTTTTTATATAATAGACTTATATGAAACCACTTCATGCAATCAATCACGTGTTGAAGTAACACTGTTGGGATGATATTCTGGTATTGGATCTAGTTTTAGTAGTTGTTAATAGTATTTTATTCAACATTTTTATTAGTAGTCAGTGGGTCATCAAACCAAAAAAGAAGTGACTTCTCAAGTGTCAATTAACTCTATTAGGCAGGCAGGTATACTCTGGATCAGTGGTTCTCAAAGTGTGGTGCCTGGACCAATGATATAAACATTACCTGGGAATTGTATGCCAATTATTAGATGCCACCTTAGTCCTACTGAATCAGCTCTGAGGATGATACCATTTAATCTGTGCTTTAGCAAATCCTCAACATTTGGTAGACATATGAGTCATACAGAATCCTGGGCCCCATCCTCAGTGTTTCTCATTCAGTTGGTGTTTGTAAGAACTAAAAATAAATAAATAAATAAAGATAGCATTTCTAACAAGTCCTCAAATAATGTGCTAAATAGGGACATTACTTTTGAGAATTACTGATCTGTGTGAACTGCCAGCTACCTTAGCCCATTAGCTACTTGGACAATAAAGGCAATTTAGTCTACTGTCTTTAAGAATATGAAAATGATGCTAAATTCTTTTTTTCACCCTAGATTCATAAATTAGCCAATATAAGAAAAGAAGAAAAAGGGATTGTATGTAGTACAGTTCAGCATATTCCTTTATTTTGGCAAAAGCAAACAATCAATGCAAACTGAACCCTTTATACTACATGGAGAAGTTTACCCGATCAGGGAAATCCCCTAAGCAGTTGTTAGTAAAACATGTCACACTTCAACTTGTCTCCAAAATGAACATCTGAATAAGTGGAACAAGTCTCCCTAGAATTTAGAAACTCGCTCCCTCAAGTTTAAGTGTGTAACCTGTTTATAGAGAAAAGCAAAAGGATGTTTGACCTTCAGTCCTTTGTAGTTTTCATCAGACACATTAACAAAAACAAAGTAGGAGGGAGAAAATAAGCCAAAGGGAAGTTAGGATCCTTGCACAAAATTCCTATTTGGAGGCACAGCCTTCTGATAAAACCAGCTTATAGAGCCCTTCTAGGACAACATGTGCTTCTGATAATGGGGGAAACAAGATGTTTTCTTAACGAGGGGAATTACTTGAAGGTTTAGAAGAAAAAAAATTTTTTTAAAAATACCTGACTGCCCACTGAAACATGGTTGAGAGAGACCAAGGTAGTTGATTAGGGAAAAAATAATTAATTAATCTGTAGCTTAAAATTTAACTGCAGGTGGGAGGAAAGCAGAAAAAAAATACAAGAGAAAATAAAAATCAACTCTATTTTGTTGTTGTATATCATAGATCAGAACTGACCCATAGCTGACCCTCCAGTGGGTTTTCAGAGGCAGTTAATTACAGGGGAGATTGTCCATCCTTCTCCCAATGAGCAGTTGGTGGCCTCGAGTCACGTGCCTTTGGGATTGCAGTGCAGCTTCTTGACACTAAGCCACTAGGGCTCAACTATTTTAGACAAGCTATTTTATTTAGATATGACAGCCAGTGGCTTCTGTGGTTCAACAGTCACATGATATTTGATGTTCCTAATGTCCATCATCTTTTCAACTCCCTCATTCTCAATGAGCATAGTAAGAAATATATCTGTAAAAAACCTGTCAACTCTGATACAAAGCTGATCTTGCACTGGTAACTAACAATATATCAGCATGGATGGGAGTGAGAAACAGCCTACCTTCTAAAGACAGCCCTCATAATAACTCAAAGGGCAAAAGAAGTGTGTGTGTGTGTGTGTGTGTGTGTTTAAATGTGTTAATCAAATAATTACTTGCAAAGAGAAGTATCTGGTCAAAACCTGTTATTAAAATGGTATGACTTGAAGAGAAAGACAAAGTGTATGAGAGAATAAATGAGCCAAAATTAGGATGTTATGCTCATTGCTTTCTAGTTATGTTGGTTCCAGAGGAAAGTTTTCAACCTTACCAGTATTTTGTATGAGGTAGTATTTAGCACTGAATAAGACATAAGGATGAATTTGTAGCTTCATTGCCACTTCCTTTTCAGAAATGGTCTCTCCCTACCTAGCCATATTCCCACTATCTCACCCACCTCCCTTCTTTACTACCCTTCCTCCTCCCATAAAAGAAAATATTCCTAATAAAGGGTAAAGCTAGGATCTCAGAGAAAATAATGAAAAATGTTTACCAAAAGCTGACTTATGTACTTAAACTTAAGAAAATAAATCTTATTTTGCTTTCTAGTGTTCTAACCTCTAAGCCTTCTTTCTGGATACTCTTGGATTTCAAAACAAACCAATAAACTACCACAAAAAAACTCAACAACAACAAAAAACTACCACAAACAAAAACAAATGAGAAAAAACTCACAAAACTCAATTCTCTAGAAACAACTTTTTCAAGACCAAGGCAGAGCAGAGGTGATATATTTATTGGTTTTTAAATAATGAAGTCAGGCTGCACCATCGAGTTGCAGGCGACTCATAGCGACCCTTTGAAGGAGAGTCCTCGATGCTTGGGTGCCTTTCATCCTCTCTCCAGGTTCATAGGTTTCCAGAGGCAAAGCGATTATGGAAGTGGATGCCACTCCTCTTTCCAAGCTTGTTTTAATTGGGGAGCTCCACCCCACTCTGTCCGCATTGGGTAGCCAACTATTAACGCATTTGACACACCAGTGTCACAGTGTTCAGCCTCACAGCAACCACAAGTGACCACGGGATGGCAACTTGTACACCAGGGCTATACGACCTTGAGAAATGTCTGAACAAAAACAATGAAAGACAGGCCCGAGGGCCACGGATTAAAAGTCACCCACCTTTGGCTTGGTAGCATCGCTTTCTGTCCACTGGGCCAGCTAATCTCTCTCTTTCTCTCTGTGCTGGTATTACTGTTGTTAAGTGCCATCGAGTCGCAAGCGACTCATAGCAACCCTATGAAGGAGAGTTCTCTACGCTTGGGTGCCTTTCATCCTCTCTCCAGGTTCATAGGGTTTCTGGAGGCAAGCTGTCATGGAAGTGGATGCCACTCCTCCTTCCAAGCTTGTTTTAATTGGGGAGCTCCACCCCACTCTCTGTTGGGTAGTGAATATTAATAAACAAAAAATGAGGGAGGTGTAGGAGGAATGCTAAAACAAAAATAATGTGCAGTTTGTTAATTTTAAAATGTCCTAGTCTACAGCAAAAAGAGTTAACTAAAAGTACTAGATTGTAATTCTAATAGTTTCCAGTTCACACTTTTAATCAAAAGTATTAGTCATAAAAAGATGAGTTCAAGTATTCAAGTGTCTCCATTTAGAAGGCACAGTAACTGGATTAGTGATATTGTTACCTGTTACCTGTATTTTCTTAAATATACACTTTTTACTGCTTACTCCATCCTTACTTGTAAGCCTAAAATGGTTTCTCAATTCCAGCCCATAACGTGCTTCGCAATCTAATTCTAATCGTGACTGGGAAACACTGAATCAGGAAATATGTGTCTGAAGAGATGCTAATTTAGATCTCAAAATAGATTCAGTCTTTTTGAGTCTTAGATGATTAGAGACAGGAAATTTCTAAGCCTGGAAAGTGATAACTCCCTTTCACAATTTTTCCTATTCAAGGCCTGAAAATTATAAAAATGGATCTCATAAAACTTTCAGCAAGGTATTTCTGACAACTGCAAATTAGATAACAGAATATCCAAAGATTACTTTCTGCAAAGATCTAACATGGATTTGGGCAGAAGACTGGAAGGTGGAGAAATATACTTTGCAAGGTGGTACGCGAGTTACAAAACATGAGTGTCCTCCATATCCTCCAGGTGTTCAGTCTATATGTGTGGTGTTGCTCATTCATTTGCTGTCTCAATTGTTTGTATTTTGGTTTTGCCTGTAGTTTTATTGTTTGTTTTTTAAAAAAAAACATCAACTTTCAAAAGCCTTTTACCATCACCACACACATAACAATTTGCAGTATCAAATATAGCAGTAGCACAGCTAGCAAACGGGTTCTCAAAGCAGGGGTGTCCACAGCAAAGTAGCAGCATTGAAAGGTACTCGAAATATCCTTTTGGGGCTCAAGTTTACATCACTGAATCAATTAATAGCACACAATAAGACCATTAACTTCTCTAAACTACAAAAACAGTGGCGAGCTTATTAAAGATGTCCAGAGCTCCCCCCCACCCCTTTTTTGGTAAGATAGTCCTTCACAAAAAAATGGTAATTTCTGTTACAATTTTGACATAGAAAAATGTATAAATTCACTTAATACATAATACTTTTCACATCTGAATTTGTCTGTTTCCCCAATATCAAAGCCCCATTAACAACTCAAGCTAAAGCTAATTTGCTCCAACTAAACACCCAGCTGCCCATTGAAATGAGAAGGATTGTCACAGAATGATAGTCATTTGTGAACAATACATTTAGGAAAGCTCTGAAATACAGCCACTTAAGAACCAACCATTAGTGAGCAATTAAAATGATCAGCTCCTGGTTTTTCTGCTAGTCTGGATAGTTTCTTTCTCTTCTTCCTTGAGAGTGATTTAGAGAACAATATCCTTCAGATGCTTCACACCAGGAGACTCTTTGTCAGGACTCTCCATGACTTTTTCGCTGTCAGCTCCACGGGGTTCAGCCTCAGAGGGACGGGAAGGGCCATTGTTGCCATACTGCTCCACATCACAGGCCAGGGGAGCCAGGGCAATGGTGTAAGACACCGAAGGCTTGGTAGACAGAGGGCTCTTCAGATGGAGAGGGGAGGTGATGGGCCTAATTGCCTCACAACCATTCCCTGCCTCACGGATAGCACTGCTGACCTTAGGGCTATAGATGGTGACATCATCGGTTCGCTTGCCTTTCAGGGTAGGCCTCTCCTCAACTGGGTGGTCGCTGACATCTTTCCCAAAGGTTGCAAAAGTCCGTTTAGTGGGAGCGCAGTCGTCATAAGCTTCAACATCGGCTGCAGTAGCTTCAATGGACAGAGCAATGATGTTCCTCGCGTGCTCAGGCGACTTGGAGCGGGTGGGCATGGGGTTCCGGGGCATCCAGCACCTATCAGAGTGGCCAAGAATCCGGCATTCGTCCCTGCAATGAAATCCTTCATTCTGATCTGTTGGGAGAAAAGAAATACTTCATCAGCTTTTCCAAGAAATCATTGTCATTCCCCAGTGTTCTGGTTTCTTTAGGTACCCACAAGCCCTTCTGGGAAATGGCACCTTTAGATAGTTCTTTTATTGCCTTTTGGGACAAGTGTGAAGAGTTACATTTTTAAGAAGCTGTAGATCTCCCCCTATGCATTCTCTTCTTTTTCATTTGTTATTCCCACTGCTGACAACTAAAAACCTAAAGATAGAAAATTTATGATGAAAATGCGTTTTTTAAAAAAAGTTTAACCTAAATGTCAAAGTTATGAGACTCAGCAATTTTGTTCTCAGCAACTCCTGCTAAAAATCATCTGTGTTTGAAACTGAATCTAACAGAAGGGGGAGCGGAGACAGAGCAGGAAATCCAGTAGTCAGTTTATTTCAGAAGGCTTGGCCAAAGTTTTGAACAACAGCATTCCCAAGCTTCTTTCTACCTTACTAATTTTTTATATAGTCTAGCTTAATTTTAGATCAGAACGATGCTCTCTTTAAAACTCCAATCATATAACTTTTGAGCACTAGTTCATCTTTTCACAATACCATTTCCATTATTTAATTTTCTCTCAGAAGGCATATGCTAAGATCTCTTCCTTCCATCTAACTTATAAGCTTCAAAATGTATACATCACACATACACTGAGCATCATTTAGTGAACATCCCTTATCTGAAGTTATATTAGGATCATCTTCCTTAAAATAATTTCATGCATTACTTTAACACTGTCATATAAGGGCTCAGCTTCTAAGGAGCACTCTTGTTGTTTAGGAATTGGTATGTAATCCCCCACACACATCTCTTTGGTGAGAGATCTTAAAAACATCTGGAAAAATACAAATATTAAATTAAAAAATCCCTAGTGAGTAGTTACAGAACATATATTTAAGGAAGTAATTTAAATAGAAAAGAAACAGAATATGCTATTTTGTGCAGATAATAGTAAAAATCTATGTGGTAATTACTACCTTCCTTAGAATTAGAATTTGATGTCGCTTAAGATATGGGCAAGAAACATGCTTCAATATTAAAATAAAGTCTATGCGTGGTTCCAACCAAAGCATGACAAAGAAATAGATGAAAGGTTTTGCAATAACTTTCAAAGTCCTAGTGGAATAGAAGAGCTTAGAGGCTATGGTGGTTTTGTATAGAAGTTCAATGCATGTGTTTGTTAATATTGATAGTACTTTATCATGATTCAGAGTCTATTACCTCAAAGATCTAGTGATCAAAGACAAAAATCCAACAACTAGTTTGAGGTTAACAGCTACAAGAGCAATGGGTTACTTTTTAATAAGTGGTCTGCAATCAATGAGACAGAAAAGAAATTTAAACTAAACTCCAGTTTCTTTTTTTTTATTGTATTTTTTTATTTTTTTAAATAATTTTAATGAACATTTACAGAGATTTTGGATTTCCGTTCATTTATTGCTGCACTTCTCTCCGCACCTATCCCTCCCCCCACCGCCCCAGTTCCCTCTCCTCTTTCAAAAGTAAAAGAAATACTCCTTCCCTGGTACACAATCCCCCTGCACCCCTCCCCCACCCCAAGTACATTACACTATGCAACCTTAATTGTGGACTCTTGTGATGACCATAAGACCCTATCATACATTGCTTTTAAATTATTCACTCCCTCATCTGTTTCACAATTTATCCAGTTTTACTCAGTCTTACCACAACCTTGATATCAGTCTCATTTTACAATAGTGGCACCATGCAATATTTGTCCTTTCGCATCTGAGATGTTTCACTCAGCATAATGTCCTCGAGGCTCACCCATTTTGAATAATATTGCATGAGTTCCTTGTTTTTCAATGCAGCATAGTATACCACAGCTTCTCTACCCATCCGTTTGTTGATGGGCACCTGGGTTGTTTCCAACTCCTTGCTATTGTGAACAGAACCTCAATAAACATGGGTGTGCATATATCTGTGCGGATGTCAGTTATGGTCCCTTTGGGATATATCCCCAGTAGTGTAATTGTTGGTCAAATGGTATCTCTGTTTGCAACTTTTTGAGAAAGCGCCATACAGCCTTCCACAGTGGTTGCACCATTTTACACTCGCACCAACAGTGAATAAGGGTTCCAGTTTCTCCACAACCTCGCCAGCATTTCTTGCTTGCTGTTATGTTAAGTTTTGCTATTCTGACTGGGGTGAGATGATATCTCATAGTTGTTTTGATTTGCATCTCTCTTAGAGCTAGGG